ACTTAAAGGGGGCTTAGAAGAAAGATGGGGACAGAGTTTTTAGCAGGGCCTGTAGTGATAGGACAAGGGGGGATGGTTTTAAACTGAAAGAGGGGAGATTCAGACTGGATATAAGGAAGAAATTGTTTACGCTGAGGGTGGTGAAACACTGGCAGGGGTTGCCCAGAGAGGTGGTGATGCCCCATCCTTGGAAACATTCAAGGCCAGGTTGGACGGGGCTCTGAGCAACCTGATGTGGTTGGAGATGTCCCTGCCAACTGCAGGGGGGATGGACTGGAGGAGCTTTAAAGGTCCCTTCCATCCCATAGCGTTCTATGATTCTACAAATAACCACGGTGAGGGTTGCCTAGATCGTACAACTCGGGATGAGAAAAAGAATTGCCAGAATTCCCCCAGGAAAGCCGGTTCTTAAGAAGTAAAGCAGCAGATTTCGGGCAATGGGAAGAGGATAATGGGAAGATGATAGGGGATGAATTTGAGGACAATGTGGTGCTCAAACCCATGCAATCAAACCCAATTCCTATAGAAACTGTGATGATTTTCTTAACAGGCCATAAGAAGAAAAAGAAGATCAAGAAGAAATTGGCCATAAATTCTGATTCCTCAACTGAGTAGCCCACTTCGGCTCAAAAGATGTGATTATTAGGAAGGAAACCAAGAAGAAACATGGAATAAATTGGTTATAGGTTGCGTCGACGTACCGATAATGGATTTATCGAGCTGATTCCAGGCTGCTGTGTTGTCTCCCAGCCAATGTCCCGACCACCTTCCGCTGGTGGGGTAGGTTGAACGGGTGACGACGATTCCTCGCTCCTTTGTGATATTCCGCAAGGCACTGGGGTTGCACGTGGGAGAAGAAACCAACAGGATGAGAACTAAGATAATCGTAAAAGGTCTTACGCACAACTCTGAAAATAAAATCGGTGGCTTATATTTCTGTAGGCAAGCGCTGCTGTGCTGTCCTTGTGAGCATGGGCAGCCGTAAATCAACCGAGCTGTGGGTTTTGTTGGAATTCACTATGGTTCACACACCTGCAGAAACTAAGTGTCAACCAAATCGTAGTTAGGAAATGAATTGGCAAAGCGAGGAGGCCCTAAATTAAGGATTTCCAGTTAAGGCTAATGGGAAAGCAGAAGGGTAGCCCAACTTACGCATTTTTAAAGGATCGCATGATCTGGTCCAGGGCACGTTAGTCCGTTATTGCAATACTAGAAAACTTGCAGCAACGGCTAAAAATCATCCTAACAAAATTCAGACCAAGGCAATAATAAGGGAGAAAAAAGAAGTACTGGGACTATTAGACCTGTCAGCATAGCCTTAGTTGCCAAAAGGGTACTGGAACAAAAAATAAGCCTTTGCTCTGTAATCATTGCAAAGGAAATAAGATTATTTGAAATAGCCAGCATGGATTTTCATTTCCTTAAAGAAGTCTTTGACCACCACAGCAAGATACCTGTAAAGGCGACCGAGTCAAAAAAACGTTTAAAGTCAAAGTCAAAGAGAAAAGCCAAAAAACAAAGTAAAAAAAAAAAAAACAACTAAGTTAGGCAGAATTTATGCTACTTAATTTCGCTGATGATGATGCTGGCACTTTTTGCTAAAACCTATGTCGTTAATCTCTGTTGTGTGACTACGGTGTACGCATCGGCTGTCTGATTTCTTAGGAGAATTCCTCCGCAAGCTGTAAAGATTCACAAAAAAATACTAGTTAAAGCCCTTCACTGACGAAATTGCTTCGCGCTCTCGGTACCTCCATCGTAGTGGCCTAAAATGCTGCTTCCAATAAGTTACTATCTATTTTTCTACAAGATTTGCAGCTTTTGTGACGCTAGAATTACATACTGTTCACTGAAATTCCCTTAGTAATGCAACTAGACTAACGTAGTACAATTATTTCTTCCAAGATACACAGTAAGTCTTCTGGTCTCTTTTATTTCTTTGCAATATATTATGATATGTACATATATGATATATTTTTATATATAAGATATATAATTTTATATATAAGATACATATAACATGTAATACACTATAAGATACGATAAAAAATATTACAATTACAATGTTATATTACCTAATATATTATAGTGCCTCTTAAAACAGAAGAAAACATTTCGTAACAGATTTAATATTCAGAACCAATAATAATATTCCCCTTCGTGTTCAATTGCTGTCTACTTACAATAACCAAATTGCTTTAGATTTGGCTGATAATAAAAGTCTTATTATGATGATGTCAGCAATATTGTGAACGCCTCGGCTTCAAGCAATGCAACGCCACGTTGCTAACTGTAACATCCCCTCCGTTAAAAATGCAAGTACACTCGATTTTTTTTCTTTATTTATGTTAATATAAATGTTACCGAGGGGTCAGGAGATCTATAACGAAACACTGTTCCTTGCTGGCTCATTAAACTGGAAATGAAACATTGGTATATTATCATTACATCAGAAGTTATCAAAAATAGGCTACGATACGATTCAGTACGAAATATATCATAAAATTTGTCTTGGAACTGAGAAAACAATTTCTTAGAAGGGAAACCTAGGCACACGATTTACATTTCAAAAGTCAGTTTTCCCTTTTCAGCACCGTTTCGTTTGTTCTAATGATATTCACTTAACGGCTGTATCGCAGCCTGTATTTTAACATCTAGATTCATTTTTCCTCCCTTGATGTAAGGCCAAGAGAAAGATCAACACTATAAATAAACCATGTTATCATAGAAATAGGTGGAAACAAAAATTTTTGCATACTTGAATGACTCTAAGCACTTGAGAGTGGCATTGATTAATTGCTTTTGATTAAGTGTTCAGAATTGTTCTCAGTTCTGTTTTGTAAGGGACAGAAGAGTGGTTTGGGGATGGGTTTTTGGGGGGCAATCATTCACTTTTAACTGAAGAACTGACTATATTCGGATGAAAAGAAAAATTACGAGGGAAAAAAGAGATTTTTCATCATTATAGACACTGAATATTAATTTGTCACGAGAATATAGTCACTGAATATTAATTTGCAACATATTTTGGAAAGAAAGGGAAAAAAAAAGCAACTTACTCGAGGGTAGGTTTTGTTTGTGACCATCCATAAAGGTTGTGGACGTTGTAGTGACTGACTGGGGAACCATCTGGGAGATATTGCTGACCTTCCATGCAGAGCGTTTTGAAGCTCAGTCCCTCGGATCTAGATCCTAAGTCTATTGGAAAGGGAATGAAGACACTCGGATTTTAACAATTTACATCCCGCAAGGATTGTAAGGAGTTTACTTTTTTTTTAATTTGCATCGTCTTGATTGGTGTTTGCTTCCTTTTACGTATTTACGTGGTCATCTATTTTATTCTAAAGAAAACAACATTTTAGGTTTTCTGAGGTTGGATTTCAGAAATTTAGGAAATGCTTAAATTCTATTCCAGAAATTTAGGAAATTCTAAAATTCCTGATACTCCTGTGTAAGTATCTGGGTCTGCAAGAGAAGTAGTAACTCTTACTGAAGAGGATCAAAGAGTAAACAGAATATATCCTAACTCAAAAAATACTGCAAATCTTTGTAATTACCACCGTATCAGCCATATACCCAGAAAACTTGGGCGGGGGGGAAGTCTATCTCTGAATACTCTGAGAAATTATATTTAAACACAATCAGAAAGCAACAGAAGTCTTCTATTAAAGCATTAGTGAGTTATTGCCAATTAGTGCTACTCTACACCAGTACTCAAGTAAAGCCCTGCTAAGAAGAGCAAGTATTTCAAGACCATTCCTCAAATTAGGCCTTATAGTTTTACATATAAGTAACTATTAATCAGAGGAGGCACAAGGATATCTTTGAAAGTTTTAGTCATTATTTGCATTTTTCATCTGGGAAAACTATGCAAAACCCTGAAAGCCATATTCTTGCCCATGTCCAAAGCCAATTAGATAATGGGTACCAAAATCTAGCCAAAAAATAAAAATCTTAGTTGTCAGAGGTGCCATGTGGTCGCTGTTCTCACCAACAAAGACTGCCGTTAAGAGCGTTGATCATCTCCAAAAATTGGTTGACTTTCTGTTATGGGTTCGGTTACGGATTTGGCTACCTAATTTTAGGCATTTATGCCACAGCTAGCGTGTAAGAAGTTCGATTCAAACTAGAGTGACCCAAAACGGTTTCAGAAGTGAGCAGACTTACGGGGCATATATGGTGGAAAATTTAGCTCTTGATTTCTACAGCCACCAACGGCACCGTTAACGAAGCTTGAAGGTTCGTTCATGTCCTGAAAACACAGAGCAAAATGCCAGATGAACAAATTTCTCTTAACTTTGGGCAATTAGTTCCTTTCAGCTATTTTAGTTTGCGCCCCTGATGTTTAATTCTCTTTGTCAGCGGGCTGACCGAGTAAATGAAATGAACGGGAAAATTCAGATTTTCAGGACCGCCCATTGCATTTCTTTTTTAACCAGTGTAAAACAATGGCTCAACAGATAATTTTTGCTGATGAGGAATTCCCTTCATAGGCAGATTCTAAATATCTCATTTCCCAGAGAGCAAAGCATCAAATTCATAGAGGTTAACTGAAGGCTTCAGTTTTAAGAACTTATTTATCAACCATATTTCCTGAAAAGAGCAGCTTTTCCTCCGTGTAAAATTGAAGTCAATATAGAAAATATAGCTACAGAAATGTAAATGACAAAAATCTCTGGACTTTGTAATGACGGCTCTTGTGCTCGCTGCCTGTGGTCCTCTGGCTGCAGCAGTACACCGGAGCCGGGGTACGGGAAAACACCAAATATTTTACTTGGTTTCTAGATGTTTTGGGGCTTTCTATAGGAATATATTAAAATTTAATAGATTCTACAGCTATTGCAAGTCCACTTCATTTAAAAAACAAACTAAACCTGTTATTTCTCTCATTTTGCCTCGCAGAAGTAGTAATGGTAAAAAATAATAGTCTCTTATTGCCCAAAAAAAAAAAAGACTTTAGGAACTTAGAGAAGAAAAACAACACTGCAAAAGAGCCGTTAGGCAGGTCAAAAGTAAATAACGAAGATTTGAGAAAGTAAACTTTTTCAACTGGCAAAAAAAAAAATAGAACAAGTAACGATGCTGGTAACAAGAAGGATTTTTAAACTTTAGTTGACCATTCATGATTTTTAGCATTAAACGTCTGTATCCTTCCTTCCTCGGAGGCCTCAGAGCATTGCTGGGTTTTGAGGTGTTGAGAACCAATCTTAGGGTAAAAAGATGCAGACGAATCTCAGAAATAGAATCATTTTTTGCACTTACAATCCATAGGCCGTCAAACTTCAAGCTTTTCGATGCGTTGTACGGATTGGTGTAGACTTCAGCGATTTCTCTTGTCCACCATTCAGTTGTGGAATTGCGGAAGAAATCCGGAAAAGCTACACACGCTCGGTAGAGCTGGAAAGGTAGAAATAAAAAATAAATGAAGCATAGACACAGGACTGAAAGCATCCCACTACTAAAATGTTGGAATTTAGTTTATTTTTTTTTAAATTACAAATTTAATTTTTTCTTAAATAATTCATGGGTTTGCTACGGTTTTTAGATGTTCTGGCAGAAAGGCCGGACAGTTTCTGCAACTCACTCTGATGTTCTTTAGGTTTTTTTGATGTTCTGCTAGAAAAGCCGGTCACTTTCTGCATTTGACTTCTTAGATTCAATTTTATCAGGCGGTTCACTACTATAAGCCTGAACGAATTTGCTGCTCCCTCTCTATTTGTGTCCGTCACCAAAAGATATCAATGTTTACCTCCACTTGGGTATCCCAATCCAGCGTGTCATTAACTTCTACGTTGGGAAGATCCGGCCAGACCTATTAGGAGGAAGGAGATGTTAAAATAATCAAATTAAACTGGATAAAAATGAGTATCAACAGCAATAAAGCTTTGCTGCTATAGTCCAATGGCTACGTAAAATGAAAAGATTTCCATTTGTAGCACTCAACGCGTCAACTAAATTTGGGAATGTACTTGGTATGAGAAGTCTTCTCCCCAGCGTCGAACCTGGCATGACGCTTATTTGGATAAAATAATCAGCTTTTTAAGAACAGCACCTTTGCATAGATGATGTCATCGGTATTGGGCCATTTTATGAAGACATCCTGCTCCAAACCTCTTGTGAAGGCGGGGTAATTGGTTTCATTACCAGATATGGCTGGATCCTAAAATTAAAGGTAATACAATTTTACTTCTCTGCTGAAAAGACAAACGCAGAAATGCTGTTAAATGCGTTCTGTATTCTGCAACGACAACTCTAATTTAAAACCAGAATTCAACACTGACCAGGATCAGGATAAACCTCATGCCTTCTTCTCGTATTTTCGTAACTAGAGCCGGTAATCCAGCGAAGCGGGGGTTAAGGGTGAAGTCCAGTTGCCGTTCCATATAATCAATATCTGCGTACTGGACATCCTGCAGTTCACACACACAAAAAAAAAAAATTAAAATAAAGCGCTTTTTTTTGTCATTTCCTGAATGACATCATCCATCAGCAAGTTCATCAGCCATTTGCAAAATTAGGCAATTTAAAATGTAAAATTGGAATCTGCTGCAGCTTAAAGGTCAGGTTATCAGATGAACGCACTTCCACAAGCTATCCAGTCTGAAATGCAGCTTTCACCACCGTATTTATGGTGAAGAAAACAGAAATTCACACATGCAAGCAAAAAAACCACCCCGGGATTTGTGCGTATGTATAAATATATGTCGATAGACACATTGCTTGCACACACTGTCCAGAAACACGGGAATCGGTTGCTCCACACTGAAATAATTTGATGTTAATTACCTGTAAAATGAAAACCATGCTTAATTTAGATATAATTTAGTTAGGGCTAAAGCTTTTGCAGCTTTCCCAAAAAGAAGCTTTGTCAGCGCAGGACAACCTATAATGCAAATGAAGTTGCCTTCTTTTGCTTTCCTCACGTTTCCCTGTAAAGTGCATGGAAAAGTCGAACTACGGCATTCATCGTAGCCTTTCTTTTACTGTTTTAAATTAGACAATACCCTGAAGCCAGAAATTCAAGTGCCATCGCAAGCTTTAACGGCTCTCAACGTACATAGGGTATCTCGGCTGCTTTCATGTCTTCCACCAAGTTGGCGATTTCGGTGTCATTTTCATAACCGTAGCGGCATAACTGGAATCCCAGGGCCCAGTAGGGTGGCATGACTGGTCGCCCTATCAGCTAAAAATGAAAAAGAAAGAATACTTATTGCAAATAGGTGAAAAGAGAAGAAAACATCAACAAAAAAACCAGCAAAAGTTTAAAAAACAAAACAAACGGACAAAAAAAGCAGACCAAAAAAATAAAAAAACCCAAACCACTTCGAATTTGCAATAGGAGAATCGTACCGCAGTGTATTCCTGAACGACGAGCTCTGGCGTCGGCCCCAAAACCATGTAAAAGTCCAGAATTCCCCCAGTTGTGCGATACGTCAGAGCAGGCGTGGGCTGGAAGGTCACATCTGGAAAACGGAGACAGTGCAAGAAGGCAACAAATGCCTGGGTAAGGCAAAAACCGAACATTGAAGTAAAACACATTGAGAAAATAAAGTGAATTTGGGGTGGTTTTTTTACCCATTGCATTGCTGTTAAGCAAGAAAACTCCATGGGCGTTGCCGTCTTCTTCAAGACCCATGTAGAACGGCTGGAAACCATACGAATTCAACTTGTACTGCAAAAGAAAGTATTTGCTATTGGAAAGACATCGTAAGCATTCAGCTATTTGCATCTACCAATAAATTATCCATTATAAATAACAAGGTTAATAAATGATCAGATACACCACGGTCAAGCGTCCAGCAAAGAGTCTTGCATGTTGAACAGGCAACGGGAAACGTTGACCAGGAGCAAACATTTTCAACTTCAAATTTTGAGGTCAATCTGTTTCCGAGTGCTCAAGGCGGGGAGGGAAGAAAATGTATTTCGAGCTTTAAAAATTGCTAATATGGAATCGCTTCCCTGGGAGGAAACTTTCTCTTCTTTTCAAACATTTCCAGGTAGCCTTTATCATCCAGACAAGCTGGTGACTTTCTCTTATTTTTCATTTACTCAAAATGATTCAAATTTTCAAATTATAGCTATAATAAGGCACTGCTATTCCATGATTAATCCCTTGCAAATCGCCAATATTTCTGTTACGCAAAAACCAGTACTTGGGTAAGCTGAAACATAGATTTTTTTTTCATTTGACTCTGTAAGTCCTAATTCAATCCTGAAGTTGTAGGACTTTGCCCAGGTCTGACCCAGGAGGACAGATCATAGAATCATTGAATAGTTTGGGTTGGAAGGGACCTTCAAAGCTCATCTAGTCCCACCCCCCTGCCATGAGCAGGGACATCTTCAACCAGATCAGGTTGCTCAGAGCCCCGTCCAACCTGGCCTTGAATGTTTCCAAGGATGGGGCATCACCACCTCTCTGGGCAACCCCTGCCAGTGTTTCACCACCCTCAGCGTAAACAATTTCTTCCTTATATCCAGTCTGAATCTCCCCTCTTTCAGTTTAAAACCATCCCCCCTTGTCCTATCGCTACAGGCCCTGCTAAAAACTCTGTCCCCATCTTTCTTCTAAGCCCCCTTTAAGTACTGAAAGGCCGCAGTCAGGTCTCCCCGCAGCCTTCTCCTCTCCAGGCTGAACACCCCCACCTCTCTCAGCCTTTCCTCACAGCGCCGCCGATGCGGGGTGTCCAGCCAAGGAGTCCCTTGTCTTTCTGGGCTGCCAGAGCACATCGCCGGCTCATGGCCGGCTTTTCATCCCCCAGCACCCCCAAGTCCTTCTCCTCAGGGCTGCTCTCCATCCCTCCATCCCCCAGCCTGTGCTGACACCGGGGGTTGCCCTGACCCAGGTGCAGGGTTGCCTATCTCCATAGCCAATCGACACCGGTTGATACAAAGCAAAAAAAGCAGAAATTCCAGAGAAGAAAGCAAAATGACAATTTTTCCCCGCCCCCCCCTTACTCCAGGAGGCTGGTCCCTGGCGAACATTCCCCAGGTGTTCCAGTTCATGTCGTGCCGAAACGTTCTGTGTTCGGTTTCGCCAAACCCATACAAATATTGGGATGCTAAACGGGTGGAAATCTGAATGAACATGTCGCTGAAGGTGAAAGTCGGTAGCTGAGAATCCCAGCTGAAAAGGATAAAAACAGAACAAGATGACAGCACTTTCAGCGCCGGGATGGTCACCCTTTCAAGGCCAACTCTTTTTTCTGTAAAAATCTCATTATTCACAAAAGTTGGAATAAAACTGTTATGGTTATCAAGAAAACATAAACAACATTAGGACTTTTTTTTAGAGTTTAACGTATTTTTTTTAGGGTTTAATTATTTTTTTGAGACTTTAATGTTGGTTTTTTTTTTTCACAGATTATGTTAAAACTTTAAGTGCAAATCAGCTTTTTCCTGTCAAAAACTGAGTCACAATCTGACAGTGTTCTTCCACTGCCCGCTGTAGATGTGGGAGGCTGAATTATGGAAGGAATAATTTACTCTGCTTGGCAAAAAAGGAACTCGATTAGCAATTAAATTACTTTAAAGAATGGCGAAAAAAGATATTTTAAATCAAAAGCATAAGACAAAAAAAAAAAGCAAACAGACACACAAAACCCATCTTAAACAATGCTGTGGTCACCTAAGGGAAGCATTAGAAAGTGTCAGAAATTGTTGTGCTTCCCAGATACTTGGTATTTGACAGATGGGGCCATTTTATGGGACGGACAGAAAAACTTGTCTGGAGAAGACTGGAGAAGAAAATGTTTTGGCAGGAAAAAAGGAAAAGGAAAAAGGAGAAGAGAAGAAAGAAAAGGGGAGGGGAAAAAGTAATGAGATGAAAAATGTAAAGAAAAATAATGAAAGTCAATCCAATTTATAAAGAAAAGAGAAATGACTAACACAAATGAAATTAACGAAATGAAAAATTTAAATGAGCAAAACGAAATTAAAATAATAAATGAGGAAATGAAATGAAAAGCTAAATTAGCCAAATGAAAGGAAAGAATGAAATGAAATAAGCATGGCTTACATCACTGTCCCTGTGCTTCTGCGTCGAACCTGGATGCCAAACGGTTTGATCTGAACCGTTACGTCATAAAGTTGATTCTCGACTGTGCTCTCTGGGGACGTGGGGAGATTCAGCGGTACCGGCACCTCATATCGTTCATTTGCATAATCATAAATCTATGCATGGAAAATTAATTCATTTCAACGTACGTGGAATAGGCATGAATTCGCAAGTTACATTTTCAAGAAATCAGGATAAAAATAGCAAAAGCATTTTCTTGTATTACTATTGACCGATAGAAATTCATCTACAGAGTGGAAGACTCCGAGTCGGATACAGAGAATTGTTCAATTGCTTCTTACCAATAACAGTAAGAAATCTGAATTACGTAAAATGGTTGAGGAAATTTGCCGAGATAAGCGTTTTCTTTCAATATGTATTCTTTCTCAAATCCCTTCAAAATCCTTCAAATCCCTTTCTTCAAATCCCTTTGGGTCGGGAAATAATGAACCTCAAGGTTTTATTTTGGGCCAGGAATGACTCATTGAATTATTTAAATATATTGATTCAAGTGTATTTTTCTGTACGATGAATAAATTTCAGCTTTTTGGTTGAATTTTTAGCCAGCCTTAAGTGATTTTTCTTCAGGTTTTCTGTATCATCCAAGTTGGCACGAGTTGATTCGAGACTAAGAGCAATAAAAGCTGTTGGGTTAAGAGGAGAAACATTTGGATGATAAAGCATTATCCATATAACACAAAATTGACTGGAAACATTATTCCTGAAAATAACACTACTTTCACCAGTGGAACAATACAAACTCGGAGAAATTCTGCATTACCTTGAACTGCAGCATATGGTTGGTGTGATATTTCACCTCCAGGCGAAGGGTACTGATGGGTAACATTGATTTCTCGGCGGCTTTGAGATTGCTCTTGTCGAAGGTGAGATTGGCCGTCACGCCTGACGACGTGTATTTCACGTCGACAACCGAATAACCGTTGTCAGAGCTGTTGTAGTGGCAGTACGGAACCCCTGGGTTGGAGGTATCTTCCTGCGGAGGGAAACATGTGGCTGATGAGGGAATTATTTGATTGCTGACTTTTTTTTTTTTTTTATTGAGCAGCGAGAATTCCCGAACTGTTTTTACCAGATAACTAGTTAACACAGAATTTTGCCCAAAACTTCATGCCGTTACTGAACGATAAAGCAGCAGCGCTGAACCCACCGATCCCCGTACTATTTTAGATATAATTAATTAGTTCAAGGCTGTTCAGTCCTGTTTATATCATTACAAAGCGACAATGATTTAATATTCCCTCTGTCTGTGACCTTCACCTCGATCCCACAAAAAAAAGACCTTTAAGTCTCGATGGTCTCTGGCCATTTTGGACACCTTCGAGAGGATTTGCCCAAAATTTATTAGCGATGTCAGATGAGAGCTCTCCATCAGCTTTTCCATTTCTTTACTCATACAAATTATCTCCAAAATACCCGTTGGGAATTGTGGTTTATCTGTCAAATAGCTCCTGATAGCAAGGTCAAAGTAACTTTCCTTTTCTTCTGTAGTTGAATATAAACACCCCAATTATTCTGAAATTAGATGTGCTTATGTTGGTTAATGCATTATCTTCCCGCCTCTGAATAATTGTGATCTTTCCTGCCTATTTGCAAAAACGAAACTACGCCTGCTCACCTCATCTTTATTCCTAATGAATATTTTTTCATCTTTTGTCACCAAAGCCTCTTTTGACTTAAGAAAAGGTTTTAAATATATCCAGTTCATAACCTGACCAGAACGTGCTGAAGACCCAGTTCCAAATATCTTGAATTATAAAAATATTTCTAATAACATGACAAATTCAGGGAAATTTATCAACCAGTTCAGCCTGTTGTTGCTACCAGGACTTCATCCTGAGATGACATGGCCAATTTTTAAATTAAGATTTCGGGAATGACGGACTAACGTCATTTGAAGGAGGACTCCAAAGAGCATTCCCATCGGGGCGCAATGCCGGCATCTATTTACAGCCATGCGATATCCAGAAATAAAAGCTATCCACCAAAACACTTCAATATCGGGAATTATGGTTTGGGTAGATCTGATAGACGGGGACGTAGCCAGTTAAGTTCACAGAAAGATGAAAACGTCTCTGAGGTTCAAGGATTTCTTCTTATTCTCGATTCCAGAGGAATCTGGTTTATTTGAATTTATTTATGTATGTGTTTATTTTTTATTAGTGACTTCAATTTATTTATTTTTCAATGTGTATAAGCATAAGATAAAGCAAAAAGGCACACACACCCCCCCAAAAAAAAGGCCTGCAGGTCCCAGCTGCAGTGTCAGAGTTGCATGAAGATGGTGATCTCAAGTCTATTCTATTTTTCATAACCCTGACATTATTTGTTACCATCTTTCAAAAAATACCAGCTCTTGCCTCTGTTTTTCACATACTTCAGAAGGCCAGAAGTTGTTGACAATGACGCTAGTTTCAATAAACCGCTTATTTTTTTAAGTCAAAATGAGACTGTTTCTTTTGTTGTGAAAAAAAAAAAGACACAAAAATAAAGTTACAGTTCTTAACGTGGGTCTTCCCCAATTTGGTTTTCCCAAATTTTTGCTTACGGTCCAGACGCAGCCGAGCTGTTCACATTTTTCCTTGCTAGCGTTCAGCCCGGGATAACAATCGTATTTTTCGTTGAAACTGGTTCCTTGCGTCCATCTTAATGAGTACGATTTTCCCAGTTCGAGCTGGAGTCCTTGTATGAGAGCAACCTATAAATATTAAACCGTAAAGCTCGATTAAATTCGACCTCCCGTCAATGTTTTTTTCAGATCCTTAAAACCAAGAAATCGCTCTACGCAGCAGCTCGCGCCCAACTTAACGCCTCTCCTGAGACACCCTTAATTTACGAATTCACGCGTCTGAAATTCCTGCGCAGAAGATCTGGAAAAGATCTGGTCCCGCAAGTCCCGGGGAAGCTCGCCGGGGTGAAGAGACGTGCACGGCTCTTTAGCCTTTTTAAATTAAAATGGAAGTCGTTAAAAAATATAAATATTATTCACCCTCCGACAATATCGACTAAAATCCTAAAGCTGTTCCCTTATAAATTGAATGCGCCTGCATAAATAAATGCAAAAATAAACTTTGTGTCGCGTGCAATGTCTGATGGCAAAATGAGATCCACCCTCTTTAACATAATTAATGTTATTATTAACATAATTCGCGTTATTATTAAGGTAAATAACGTAATCGTACTTTTTAATGAAATACATTGCATATACCGTGGCATTTACCGCAGCACGGATTACTCTCCTGTTCGATATATAAAATACAGGCAGAGATAAAATACAACTCCAGAGATGTTTCATTCCAGGTTTCCTATTATCATTTACCTTATCTACAGGATTATAGGTGATATTATGAGAAGAATTTTGCACGTTATTGTTCTGCAACACCGTAACTGACACCGGTTCCTGGAGCAATCCCAAGATTTTGATTTCTTCAAACATCAGGTTGTTTGGATCGGCGTAGTTATTGTTTGTGACATTCATTTGTAGAACGTTCTGGGGGATAATGAAATAATTGCATTGAATTGCCAAAATTTCTCCTGATTAAAATTGACAGGCGACAATTTTTTTCTGTTATATATGTAACATTTATGTATATTTTATATATATATCTATTATATTATATATATATGTGTGTATTATATATTTTTATATACATATAATGTATATTTCTGCATTATACGCGTAATATAGCTACGCACAAAATACATTCACTTCTCTCGACACAGAAAAACCAGGCTCTGTTCAATTATATTTAATAATATGAGTCCAGCCTCTCAAACCGTGCCACAGCTGTCACAGACACCCATAAAAAACCTCACTACAATAAAAAATCACGAGGTAGATGACTTTTTTCCTCATTGTAGACATTTTCAGCTATGGTTTTTCCCAATGCGCAAGGATTTTTGTCAATTTTTCAAATTTTGGAGACTCAAAACTGATCCATCCATCTCCTTTCTTACCTTAACTGCCACTGATGCTTGACAGTTTTTCCGCTCTATAAACTGTTATAAACTCTATAAACTGTCATCAACTCTATAAACGTTTGTTGTTGTTGTTCTATAAAGTGGCAGGAAATTGGGAATCTTCAGATATTAAAAATAATTAGAGGAAGACAAGACAAATATCGCGACTTCCATCTTGGTCAAGCGACGATACTTTGAAATGGCACCTCTTAGACTTTGGTAAATACTTCGGTTTTTAGTAAATATTTTAGGAAAATAGGGAGGGGAAAAAGGAATATCCATAGAAAGCATTATTGATTCAAATGGGAAAAGAAAATCAGATCCTTTAAAAAATATATACTTACATTGGAAACTTTAAAGTCATAGGAAATGTAGGTTTTGCTGTTAATGGTACCTAAAATGTGGAGAAAGAAATGACAGTTGCAGCGCGGAATGAAAGAGCATTAGAAAAGGGAAGCTAGAAGACCAAAAAAAAAGCTAATTATTTTTATCGTTACGGTTACCTTCAAAGCCACCCCACCGAGCAACAACCTAGAAAATCCTATTTTTTGAAGAGGGAAACACGGCTGTTGATATTTAACATTCTGCCAATTCAAATCTTCTGTCAAACGGATCCATTTCTACATTCGATATTTCTACATTTTCCTGAAATCCTGGGGTTTTGGGGAGTTTTTTTCAAGTCCCGAAGTTACCTATTGAGTCATGGTGTTATACGCTGCTGGGGTGGAGAAGGCCACCAAACCTGCCCATTTTTGCCCCTTTTATTATGCATATTTCCTTTTTTTTATTATTCCTGGCCTTAGCAAAGTATTTGTTACATATACGTTACTTTTGAGAGCCTTTCCCAGCTGTCTGTCATAACCCACTATTGTTTTCCAATTATTTTTCTCTCAGATGAAGGACTATAAACTCCCATTAAATCAATATATATTAATGCCAAATATGTGCCGTTTTAGTATGTATTTTTGGCATATTTTAGTAATTAGGTATGGTCTGCTCTCTAAGGTTAAGGATCTTCCAGTCTCTAACCTACACTTTATTTCAGTATAGGTAAATAAAGCTCAAATATTTTCCCATTTTTTGGAAAACCCCATGAAGTTTCCCATTCACAGCAGCCTACGGAAAGAACGGGATATGAATTAGAGAGCAGGTCCACCTGAAATACAGTGGCATTAACAGAAATATGCCACAAAAGAAAGCCCTTTGCTCTTAATATTATGGTTGGTTGCAAATAAAACAATGAAATTTGTTACAATTCGTTGGTATCTATCCATACTTCAAGAACATTCATTTATCAGAGGCAGTCTTAAAATACATTTTCTTTCTTTGGCTGCAAAACATGATGCACAATGGTGTTTTACTCTGTGACTGGGACTCCTGGTGTCATGGTTTAACCCCAGCCAGCAATTAAGCACCACACAGCTGCACGCTCACTCCACCCCGGTGGGATGGGGGAGAGAATAGGAAGACTAAAAGTGAGAAAACTCATGGGTTGAGATAAGAACAGTTTAATAATTGACATAAAGTATAATAGTAGTAGTAGTAGTAGTAGTAGTAGTAGTAGTAGTAGTAGTAAGAATAAGAATAAGAATAAGAATAAGAATAAGAATAAGAATAAGAATCCATCTTTAATACAAGCTTGAGTGTTTTATAAAATGCCTTCCAAAAATCATTTCAGAAAAAATGTTGAAACAGCCTTTTGGCTTTTCCAGAAAATGTATATCAAATTTAAGTCTCCGAAGTTATTTGGATCTAATGAAAACCAGATGCCTAACCGAAGCCTCAGAAATACCTTAGAAATTTCAAAGGTTCTTCATTTTCCAAAAACACCTGCGCCTCAATATGAAAATAAAAAAATCACGGTATTTTTGTTGGCAAGGGTCTTCCATCGCTCTGGAATCACCTGTGCTTTTCTTAGACGTGCCTGCATTCCGAAGGCATTCATTTTCACAATAAGAAAAATGAATTTAGCCTAAAATTCAAGGGTTTTTTACTTGGGTTGAATTAAGTCATGACCTTAATATTACACTAAACTTTTTCTTAAGAAGGATATAAATTGTTTGATAGAAAAACACTTGGGAGTTGAGCAGTATCAACCCCAGGTCATCACAAGAGGTTGCGGGGCTTTGGCCTGATAATTATAGCTGAAAAATAAGTTTTCAGGCCGATACCAACAAAAAATGAGGTTGGAAAGGTAACGCGTGTGGCCTGTTCAACTTACTCAAGTCATGGATATGCTGTGGGACCCAAATGCCATCACAAATTTGGGGTTCAACACCACACCTTGGGAGTTAACGACCTTTCTGCTGATTCCCCAAGGAATTTAAGTCCAAACCGTTCAGTAACTGTACGAGTTTTTCACCTTCAACTGAATCTTCTTGTGAAACATGGATTACGGCTGTCCTTGTACCCATTGAAACTCATTTGGGTGCGTAACAGAAAATATATTCATTGTGACAGCATGGTTTAACAGTTGGCAAAATCTTCTCGTGTAAGACTCGTGAAATCGGAACAAGCAATAAAAAAAACAAATTAAAAAAAAATAAGAAGATTGCATTTTTTTACTTGATGATGAAAAAGTAGTAATAGCTTGTTCAGATTTCAATTCTTAAGGTTTTTTTTAATTAAAATATTTACATCTTTTAAAATATTTTAATTGTTGTTTCTTTTTCTTTTAGCCTCCTTCCATGAAATCAACTCAACCGTTCAAATCTGTGCGTATTAATATTTCGGTTGTCACCGTGGCCTCACTACGACAGTCGAGAAAGGCTCACCTGTGGATTCTCCGTCATCCCAGAATAACTCCCCAGCCGCCTCGTTATTGTCATCCAGTGCAATTATAAGCCCCATAGGATTCTTACGGCTGTGGAAAAATAAAAACAACACAATTTTAGATATATAATAAATATCTAGGCAGTCTTTAATGTTCCTATTCAGAGTCTAGCGTTCAACGCAGGTTCGAAACGTTGAGAATTGTCTTGCCTTAGTCCCCGGCTGTCCAAGGTTTCTGTGTTCGATGATTTTCATGCAACAGAATAAAATCCACGGCGAGATTAGAAAATGTCACACCAAAAAAAACCCCTCTGGTTAATCATTAAATATGTTTTGTCGTCAGCCGTGGCAGTGAGTGGGGACTGACAGTTATTCCCAATTTTCAAAGTGCAAATGCTAATTATTATTGAATTCTAATACTCCTATAAATACTACTAGAAATACTACTAATAATAATGTAATATTGTAGTGTAACAATGTAATGCTAATAATAATACTACTAATAAAAAGTAATGATTAGAATGATGATGATTATGATAATAATAATAACAACAACAATAATAATGATGCTACTTTTTTTCCCTGCAACCAGGTTACCTTGAGTCCATTCTTGAAATCACTTTTCGTAATAATTTAGTGAAGGAAACGTTCAGTCTGGAGCTTTACCTTGCCACCGTTGTGGTGCCCGGCCGTTGGAAAGGGAAGATGTAGCCTCCTCTCAAGTGAAGCCCCATTTTGTCTGCAGGAAGGTACATATCCACCCACTGCTTTCTCAACCTGATGTTTGCACCCTAATTAACGGGGATTAAAAAGGAAGAGTAGGTTGCATTACTCGCTGCTGCCTTAAATCCTGAGTTTTATCATAATTCTTCTTAATTCTTCCTTTTAGTCAAAGTTTTCAGCTCTGGGAATGGCCGTATTGCTGCCGACGGTCACAAAAATCAAATCACCACAGACCAGAATGCTATAGATAAATAAGCAACTCTCATTATTTAATTTCAACTTATTATTTCCGTTTATTATATCGGATTATTTACTTAATAATCAACCCAGCGAGAGCAAGTCCTGCTGGGATGTCTGAAGCGAACCGCAGCCCTTTTCTACCAACTAAAACCACCACCACAGCAGCGGGAAATTGATTTCCAGAAATGAGATTAGCAAGCGTTAATGGCAACCCCCCTCGTGCGTTAATTAGTAATATTACATTTTGCTTATATGTGCCCTTCGCTTAAGGTTTCGTTCAGCCTGGTCCTCCCAAATCCTGAACTCAACCCACAACTATGTGACCTTCTCAGTTGGATATTTAGAAACCCCCACCCAGTTATCCTGCTTAACTTACCGAATCGTAATCGTACCAGACTGCGTCAGGGATATATGCTGGGATGGTCTCCACCCCCTGGAAGGGGAACACAGAAATTACTTTCACACTCAAGCCTCCATTAATCCAATGTAGTGGGTTGATCTTGGGTGGCGGCCAGGTGCCCACCCAGCCGCTCTATCGCTCCCCCTCCTCAACTGGCCAGGGGGGAGAAAATACAATGAAAACAAGCCAAAATTTCCAAAAATTGTAATAAAGTTGACAATGAGAAAACCATCGCTATTTCCCCTCAGTTTTTGGTTTTCTTCCACGGTTTTCTATACGACGATGCCCAAAAAGGAAGAGAATAATCCAGGTATAATTTCAGCAAAGCCGTAAGACAGAAACCCACTGTTTGTAACCCAAAATTACAATGCTGCAAACACACCATCTCAGAGGCTATTCACACGCATCGTTAAATCTTCTTAATTTTACTTTTTCCACACTGGCTTGCTTCAGATATTTGCTACATTTAACAAATGCTTTGTGCTTCTAAATAGCTTATGCGGTACGAGCATTCGTGAGCATTACGTACCAGGTTTTGGAACAGGAAAAGCAACGATCCGTATTTTTTTTGTCTTGATGAATCACAGGTAAGGTGAAATCAAGTGAGAAAGAAGCAGCTGGCTCTGAACGAAATGCAGAGGTGATGGAAGGAGGAGATGAAGCAGAATTTTGCAACGGAAGGATCAGAATTCCCAACGGATGGGAAAACAGAAGTAATACAAAACAGAGTAATATAAAAATAATGGCACAAAAAAGAGAAGATGGAGTTTAAGGAGAAAATTAAATTTAGAACAAATTGAATTTAAAGAGGAAATTAAACTAGAGAAAATGGTATTTAGTATGCATGAAAGAAGGATATAATCAAAGCTTATATTAAGACACGTGTTTCCACTGGAGATATATCAACGGTAATGAACAAGGGCCTCTTTGGGAATACGCCTGCCAGTTTTCCCCAAGACAATTCAGGCTAAAACAGGACCAGAGCAAATTTATTAGGTTCATCAGGGAAATGGAAGACCCTATTTTTCTTTTTTTTTTTATTTTCAGCTTAAAAAACGGAGAAGGAGCATGACTACAGGCGAAATACGTATGCCCTAAATAGGGGAGCTCCAACTCTATAGCTGAGTAACAATATCGTCCCAAGACTTGAATAAGATAGAAAATTCAAAAGCAGTTTCAAATCGAGGGAATAAAAGAATGAGGGGAATAGAGGGTCGAGAAATTCAACGTGTTGGGGCTTTTACTGCAATTCCCTGTAGAACAAAAGGTGTCGCTGGTGACTCAAGGTGCCCCCGCGAATTCATTACAAGGCATCAAGAAAGTGAGACCTACCGGCTCAAGCACAGGGGTAATGAGGAGCCCAGGACCCCACAAGAACTGCTTATCCACACCCCACGTTGCTTCATCAGAATAAAACCTAAACGAATAGGAAAGCAGCGGCATTAATCGCACTTACAAATTAATAACGTTAATTAATATTAGCACGAGCAATCCTAATGTTTCAAGGTCTCGGTTGTCTAGAATCGCTGTTGAAAAGCGTCATATGGTGATGCCCCGTTTTGGTGGAGGCAATCTGAAGTTAAGAAAGCAAATTCACAGCTTATTAAGTTCGTATGTATTAATTACGCATACGCATAAGTGTTTCTGGGGGCATCTGGTCTTAATATAGTTCCATTCAAGAGGTTCAAGAAAATAAAGGTGAGAAAATAAAAATTTTAAAATATATATCCCGATGGGGAATGCTTTCATCAGCTGCCAGTGACGTTTCGTCACTGGCGATAACGCCAGCGCGCGTGCAGAAATCACAGATGGGTTTTGATGGGTTTTGATGACACCAGTACTCCAAAATGGTGTCACGTGACTGCAGCCATCTGTACGCACGATGACGGGCAACATCCTTCACAAACTATGGCTGGGTTTAGCAAACCCCCAACAGCGTTTGACCTGGCTGAATTATTTTGTTCCAGTATGGTGAAGGTCAACTTACTCGTGGAGAACCGGCCGTGCCACCGTGTCCCCTCGGGTATGAGCTTTGTAAAAGAGCGTATAGAGGTAGGGCAGCAACGTATAGCGGATATTCAAGTAGTGCTTTGAGGAGTTCACCAAAAGTGAATCGTTTCCAAAGGCAGCAGGATCCTGGGGCTGAAAACAAATAATATATTCTTATTATTGCTGTGGCACCGAGGGGTGCAGCCAAAAATGAAGAAAGGTAGGTCAAACAGCAGCGAGCGCTTGGTCCTCATCGTAGGCACCACCAACTGGGACCAAATTTGATGTCAGTTGATGATTTCAGAAAATGAAATGATGCCAAATGCATTCCCTGGTGCCTATAATTAACCCCTACAAAGCTAAACATTTTGGAGCGCGTATTTCCCAAAGCGTAAGGTCGTACCAATTTTCAACCAGTCAACTACTTAATGATCAGTGACAGAAATTTAGGTATCAGAGTTTAATTTAATTATCAGAGGAGAAAGGCGATGGTGTACCGCAAAAGAAGTGTTCCTAGCAGGAGGTACCACTTACTATGTATTTTTCACTATTGTGATTCCTGGAAAACGGGTAAAACGCTCCCACTTGCATCCATCGTCTGCAAAGTTCTTCCGTGACGTTTTCGAAGAAACCACAAATATCTGCTCCGATCTTAAAATAAAACCAGAACGCGTTGTTCGTACGGTGCATCGCGCCTCAAACCTCTACCAAAAAACCCCCAAGGAGTGAGTTGCAGAGATTTTTTTTTTTTCAATTCAGCCCTAATCACTAACCAGGGTAACAGTCATTCAACAGATTTCTACATAGAGTCTTCCAAATCTCTCATCCATACCTAAATTTGCCCACTGTTATTTTCCTTTGGTTGAACCACAGAATTTCTGAAGTTTCTAAGACCTTTTTTTTTCGCGGCAGACGTAGCCACGTAAATACAGATTTTTCAGTAACATCAGAGTTCAGCAATTAATTTTACGGCCCACCACCTACGCAGACAGTGTTAGAATAATTCAAATATAGGTGGTACAGAAAATTAAACTGACTACACGCTATCACTGCCCGTTGGTCTCTCTCCCCCCGAGATTTATCTTCCACTTCGGTGCTCATAGGCAAAGTAGCCCAAAAATCACAGAAATTCAAATCGTGAAGAGGAAAGCGGGCATTTCATTAAGAAGCGGGCGTTCCTCTCGCATTTCAAGAGCCTCGCATCAACCGCTAATGAACGACAAATAGTAGAGGCAGCAGGGGGCTGGAAACATAAAAATAATATATTTGCTAACCATATACCCGCATATTCAATAAGCAATAGAGGGAAATGGCCTAAAGCTAAGATCAGTTATTACTGGGGAGAAAAGTATTTAAAGCAAAGGGATTCATTTATAGCGGGATTAAAATGCATTATATTATCTTTTCCTTTCTATTAATTTATATCATTTATAAATAAATGTATGAATAAATGTTTTTCTATCTTTAGATATAATTATTTCTATACACTTATTTATTCATATAGGGGTTTTTTAAAATTCAGATGGGCTTATACATATCAGGCTTGATCAAGTATCACGTATACACGTTTCTTTTGAAAAGTCACCATAAATGACTGTTTTCATACATAAGGGATTCCAAAAAGGCCAAATTCCAGCATTCCAGGTATCGCCCACTTTATGTGGTCCCACGTGGCCGCGTTATCTCCCAGCCAGTGTCCGGCGTACTTTCCCGATCCCGCAAAAGTCGACCTCGAAAGAAGGAAGCTTCGTTTTCCAGGAAACAAAGCTTCAATGGCTCTGAAAGTAAGAAAAAAAGGTTGGAATTAGACAAAAAAAAAATGTTAAAAGAAGTTGTGGAGGTGAGTAGATTTGTGTAAGCCAAGTTTCTATTAATTTTCATTTATTCATTCACAATGATAAATAAGCGAAGGACACAGACTCCCTTAAGTTTAACTAGAAGTCTAATAACTAAATTAATTCTATATTTTTTTTCACCTCAAAGAATCTTTCTCTAAGTTTTTGCCTGCCAACCTTCATCATATTTGAACTCCAGATAATAAAGCTCAGGTCCTTTCAGCTTCCTCTACCCACAGCGGCGCTGCTGAAATCCAACCCGAGGACTTCGAATTTTGATTCAGAATTCAATTCCAATTTAAAAAAAAAAAAAAATGTGATTTTTGAACGCTCAGGTTCAGCCCATTGTGGGAAGATTGGGGCTATCGATCCCCAGAGCAGGTTCCCCGGGGAATGAAATTGCTCAGTGTCTCCAAATAGAGGCCACGGGCTCAACTTTGCCGTTTTTCGCAAAGATATTAAGACGGATTCCTCACTGTTGTGTGGAGAGGGTCATAGAGTATCCAAAAAGGTTGTGAACGTCATATTGTCGCCCCCACTTCTGCACTGCATCCATACAGAGCGTCTTGGAATACATGAGTCTATCAACAATATCTGCAGGAAAAACGTAGGGAAGTGCATTTAAATCGATTTACTTACATTATTTTTGGAAGAATTACGTCTCATCAATTTAATTAAGGGAAAAAAACAGTATTTCTATTCTTTTCCTTCATGCACATTCATGAAATTTCGGCCTTTTTCTCAGTTTGGCGTTTGTGTTAACCCCAGTACTCCAAAGCCAAAGCGGCACGTGCTCACCTGCGTCATACGACGTTACTACAGGTTTCCAGATTTATTCATCTTTGCTTTAACAAAGAATATTTCTGTCTTCAAAGTTGCCGTATCTCCCAGCAATCAATGTAAAAATAGCAAAATAATTGCCCGACCGCCGCTAAAATGCGCACAAACGCAGCTTTGCTAACAGGGTGGGATTTAGTAGCCTGATGATCGATACTTCAGTATCAATTGATACGTCAATTTTTCAATTCGTTAAGCTTAAATCCAGCTTCAAGATGGATTTCGCATGCAAGGAAGGATTCGCCCAAAAACAACACCCCAGATTTCTCAATAATTTGATCCGACCATGTACCAGCAACGATCAAATTTCTGACTTGATAAAGAATTTAAACCTATGAGCTGATAGGATGGTAATTCACAAATATTTCGATTTTTTTTTTTTTTTTTCTCCACAGCCAAAGACGACGGACTTACGGGGCGTGAAAGGAGGATAGTTTAAGTCGTTTTGCTCACAGCCGTTACTTGAGCCTTGAACAAAGTTGGCTACTTCATTCATATCCTGAAAAATTGCAAATTTGAATTTCGAAGGGCGGCTCTAACGTTTATTCGTAACGGAAAGACTTCCTGGGCTTTCAGCCAAATATATGGTTACGAACCCACACAAAGGCATAAGAACTCACCCAGCAACCAGGACATTGATTTGCAAAATAACCAAAGGGGAAAAAAAAAAAATTAAGAATATCGTTCTGAATGTCAAAAGATGATTTTAAGTGGCGATGGTGGTGCTCCACCCAAATGGGAGAAATTAAGTACTATAACTCTTCCCAAATCCTGCAACATAAAGACAGGTCATTTGTTCTGGCCTGAGAAAAATTACTTTCTTCAGTTAAAACCCGAAATCCTACAGAGGGTGTTCATCTTTTCTCTAGAGGGGAAATAATTTCTCCCAAAAGATACTCTTTATTAAAATTAGAAGTTAGTGTAGTAATTATGATCCTGGTCACAGTCCGTTCTGGGATAAATTAAATGACATTAAATACACCTCAACGGAAAGAAGCAAGCATCCAACGCATCGGATAAATGCGATTTCTCACAAAATCCCTCCGACACCAGAAAAAAACAAGGATTTCACCCAAGCGCGTTGAACGCTACAGAAAAGATCCAAATCCCCCATGGATTTCAGGTTATTCTCAGCAAATCTCCCTTCAAATGCAGACTAAAACCCGACTCGCCATCAGCCTAATTTTGCAAAACGTGAAAAATTCAGGAATTACTTACAATCCAGATCCCGTCATAAGGCACCTGCTTATAAAATATTTTGCATTCCTCCACCCACCAGCTGGTGCAGTCGGGGTTGGTAAAGTCTGGGAAGACGGTTCTTCCTGGCCACACCTAGTTTAAAAAAAGGGAAATAATGAAATTAAACTGTCGATGAGCTTGCAGAAAGATTAAAATCCTCAGCTTTCCTTCAGATTTATGCGAATTGCTCTCTTGGAGAAACATTTGGGTAGAAAACCTCAGGACTGATAGGACAGCGTTGATATAGCGAGCGGGAGAAGGTTTTTGAGCTGTAAATCGCAAGAGTGAATTATCGTTATTAATTAACATGAATTATCATTATTAATTAATGTGAATTAACATTATTAAATAATACAAATCATCATTATTAATTAATGTGGATTGTCATTGTTAATTAATATGAATTATCATTATTAAGCAATATGAATCATTATTAATTAATATGGAGTATCATTACTAATTAATATGGTTTATCATTATTAATTAATATGGATTATATTATGCTTAAATTCACACACAGGAAGAAGGCAGACAGTGGCTTTGTTAGCTCCCGAGTTCTAAACTCCAAAGCCACTTTTCAAGTCAAAATTCTTTTTAAGTTATGCAAATTTTACAAATTTACAAATTTACAAATTGCAAATTTTACAGCTGCATTTGTAAACCTATTAGAAACAAATTTTCAAAGCAGTAAAGCGGGAATTGCTCTCTGATAACTATTGAAAAGAATCAGACGTTGGCTGCCCACGTCTCCCCCAAACCTTCAAAATCGCTCATTTTTCCTTTTGAAAAATCAAAATTTCAAGAAAACCGATTAAAAAAACCAAGAAATGTTGCAAAATATTGAGAACAGCAGAGAAACGGGAGATTATCCTGGCTCCAACTAAACAGGATTTGGGCTCCGGCTTCGTAAGGGTTTGGTTACCTCGCCAACTAACGGCGTTACTCCATCCGACTCATTAACCCAAATTTTCTTGCTCTGTCCCCTCTCGTAGGCTTGGTAGGGAGAACCATCAGCGAGAGCCTCTGTGCTAATGGCAGGATCCTAAAAAAGGGGAAAAGCTCATAAAAAACGGTTCCCTCCGCCAATTATTGGTTCTCTACAGCGATTACGTAGAGCCCAGCAACGACACGGAAAGACGTCTCGTCTAAGAACACAGATAATATATATTTTTTTATTCTTTTCATATTTTTTTTAATACATGTCTATAACGGTTCTATATATGTAACGGTTCTCTCCGCTGATCATGTAGAGCCCAACGACACAGAAAGACGTCTTGTGTCACAACACATATATATATATATAAAAAAACATATGTACACACATATCTAAAATACATAAAATATTTAAACTATATAAAATATATATATAATGTATATATAATGTATATTATATATATTAAATATAGAACAGTTCTCTCCACTGATTATCGGTTCTCTACCCTGATTATGTAGAGCCCAGCAACAAGACGGAAAGATGTCTCATGTAACAACTAAGAAGAAGATGAAGAAGACGACGAAGATGAAGAAGAAGACGAAGAAAAAGAAGAAGACGAAGAAAAAGAAGACGACGAAGAAGACGACGAAGAAGACGAAGAAGAAGACGAAGAAGACGAAGACGAAGAAGACGAAGACGAAGAAGACGAAGACGAAGAAGAAAAAAGTATATATAATGCATATATTATATATATATAATTGTTCTCTACATCAATTATGTAGAGTTCAGCAACTACATGGAAAGATGTCTCGTGTAACAACATACATATTAAAAAAAATATTTATATATATGTACATATAACATAAATACTGATAATGATACTATTTAAAACGGAAAAATGAACAGCTAAATGCTTACCAGTATGATAATGTATTTTTGCCCATAGTCATGCAAGTAACTTTGAAAACTGGGGAGGTCTTTAAAGTTCACTTTGTCGTAAGTAAAATCTTTCCTCGCTTCCATGTAGTCGATATCCGTGTACTGAACATCCTGGGAGAAGACGGGGCGTTAGCCGAGACGCTGACGCGGCGCATCTTCTCAACGCGCTGCGTTTTGGTTAAAAATTCCCAGAAAAGCAGCTGGATGTGGGCACCGAAAGTATTTTTTGAACTGCTATCCAGCGCTAAATTGGGGGGAAAATTAGCTTCTGATGCTCTTTAATTTTCCAGGGTTTCTGAGAGTATCAAGTGAATTTGCATACTGATCTCACTGGTTCACGGATTAAGCCAAAGAAAGGTGCAGAAATAAATATATTGAGCTGGAAATTTTAAACCGAAAAATTTTCCATGAAAAAAGGGAGTGAAAGGCATTTAAAATCAATCAGCATTTTATACAGAAAACTGTGCAGCCAATGAAAATGGCCGGAGCTAAAGAGGGGGAAAAAAAAAAATCACATTTTTACTCACGTAAGGGAGTCCGATTGCTCTGTTTCGCTCCACAACAGCCTTCACCGCTTTGAGAGAGCCGTAATCATAGCGGCTGAGGTGAAATCCCAGGCTCCAGTAGGAGGGCAACGCCGGCAACCCTATGAACTGGAAAGTAAACCCAAAAATAACGAGTGTCGTTGGCCTCCTCTCTTTGGGTCCCATTCCCTGAATTTGCCGATTCTCTCCCAAACCCAGAGATTCAACTCGAGGACGACAAAGTGCGTTTTACGCCATCGCCCACAGCTGCTATGTTTTTCCGTGCTCTTTTTCCCCCCCCCCACAAAAAAATAACCAAAATGTGAACGGTGCGAAGAATGATCTATCCGTTGCTACCGATAAAGATATTATATTATTCTATTTATATGATATAAAATTGCCACCTCATTTCTATTTTCTGGCATCGCACCCATTTATTTGCTGCCTTACCAAAAAAGTGTAAGCTCTTAGTTTTAATAATATGTTTTTAGCATGTATTTATACAGCAGCTGTTATACTCGAAGGATGATTTTAGGTAATATCACAACACAAATACCCCTGAACTGAGGAGCGGAATTAGCAAGGAGAGGCGAGGTAAAAAGCTGCAGAATGAACCTAAAAAAAATGGTGATGATCTAAGTAAGGGAAAACTGCATAGAAATAAAAGAAACTGCACAGAAATAAAGAAAACTGCATAAAAATAAGGGAATGGAATGGGACGGAAATTTTTTTAGTCTAAATTTAAATATTTAAGTTACCAAAGAACTAAATTTCATGCTGTTTTAAAATTTACATATCCTTTCTTTAAGAAGTCATTGAAACACGTATTTGGCCCAAAAAAGTACAGACGGGAATTAATTGCCACAGAGACCTCAATCGACACGTAGAAGTGTAGATACTTTCCTGCCATAAAATCGTGACGAATTGCTCAGCACGTTATCTATCTTATAATTTTAGCATATAAGTAAAAAACTATCGCCAGTGCGGTGTTGCACGCTGACCACGGCAGGCTCCAGTAGCAGACAGCCAAACTTTTGGCACACGCGTACAGATGGATTTAGCAATCTGGGCAAAATTCGTGCTTAAATTTCACCCTTAATCCCAACTAAACCTAGAGAGCAGTTCCTGATGACAGCAAAGAGGTGAGGGACAAACCCCGAGTTATAATTTTGGATGAATAAAATAGTGAAGAGACATGGAAATAGAGGGGGAGAAAAGAAATCGTTAAAAAAAAATCTGTTCAATGCATAATTTCTCAAGATAAACCACAAGATGATGGAGGTTGGAGATCATCTACTCAAAGATCACCCTTGGGCAAAGCAGAAGGAACGAGAAGCGTTCGCCCAGGGCTGTCCGCAGTCATGCTTTGAGTGTCTCCAAGGATGGAGGATCCACCAGTTTTGGGCTGGGCTTCACCACCGTACCTTCACATACTCCTGCACCACTTCCTCAGGGGTGTCTCCCAAGAAGACGTAAAAATCCAGAATTCCCCCGATTGTTCTGTACGTAACAGCCGGCGCCGGCTGCAGGGCGAACTCTGCGAGCCAAAAAAATGCACAAAATCAATTTGGGATATTATCTAAATCTCTAAATAACCGTGACGCCGATATGAAAGATAGAAAAAATGTTTAGGAGAAAATATCAAACAAAAATATTCAAGGAAATCCAAAACCATTGCTGGAGCTTACTATGCAGGTGGAATGTTTGCAGCTCTTTTTTTTTCCCTAAAAATGTCCGTATTTACATTCCTTTACAGTCCAGAAAGAGAAATCCAATGGCACAACTTCTTCTCATTAAATTTTCAGTCTCAAGACACTTGAATATTTGTTAAGCACCCAACTACGTACACATTTATCTAAGGGAAATTTAGGGCAAGTGCTGCTCCGTATAAATTTAGGCTCAGATTTTAATATCTTGTACCGAAACGTCCCTGACCGTGGACAAAAATGTGCACGAGGTACATGACGCTGCTCTCGCAATACAACCTTAATGCTGCTTGTATAGGAAACGTGAGTAAATGCTTGAAAAACCGGCCGCAGCCACCGATTTTAAGACAACTTTCTTCAAAATTTGACGTGTGACCCTGTTTTTTTAAAAAAATCTACATCAGCTCAGCAGGATCGCAGTGCAATAGCCCTGCAGCTCATTTAAAATATATATAAATCTATGTCATATATGTATGATATATAAATATAATATAAAATATATATTTTGCAACGCTTAGGGCTACGGAGAAGGCGTTCCTACCCGCGGCATTGCAGATCATTGAAATAATATATTTAATTTTTTTATTTTTGCAATACTTATGGAGAAGACATCCTTACCCATGGCGTTGCTGTTCATCAAGAAAACACCAAGAGAGGCTCCAGTGTTGTCTTCCAAGCACAAGAAGAAAGTCTGAACGCCGTATAAGTTATCCATGTTCTTAAAGAAAAACAGAAAAGCCGAGTTAAAAAAAAAACAGTAACTATACGAACCCTGCAGTGCCTCAAAAATAGATCGCGCGTGAGGTTAAACTTGTCAAAAGGAGACAAACAGCAACAATAAAATTGCTGACATTAACCTCATCGGTTTTATTTCTCTCTTTCATGGGAATGTCTTTAAGTTGCTTAAAAATCTGCTGAAAGCACGAATTTGGGGAAACCAACCTTCAGCGGAGCCGTTTGGTTAAGAACTATCTTCAAAAGTCCACGTACTCATTATTAAAAAGATGAAGGTTATAAATTGCATCTCCCGTAGGGATGGAAAGAAAAGAAAGGCGACGATTTCATGAGGCAAATTCCGGTTTTTGGTTCAAAAACCAAAATAGATGTCGAAAAGATGTTCAAAACCCAAAATAGCCCATAGACGACGTCGCAAAGCTTTGAAAGATATTTCTTCCAGAACATTCATTAACTGCAAACACCGAGCTGCTCCCTGAATCCCGTTCACATCACTCCTATTTCAGCAAAAGCCTTCAGGACTCGCTCCAAATTCAGCAGAAGGATCGGTGCTGCATTAAAGCCTCAGTCTGACACTCATTTAATCTCATTTTTACCTCAAATAATGAAAAACGATGTCGAAGAGAGGTTGAGATGCTGCGGTTATAAATAAGCTGGTTTAGGGACTCAAATAAAATCAAGTGTAAAAACATTCTTATTATTCCTTCTTTCATGACCTACGTTAGTTTTCTTTCTCCCTAGCGTTGATTAGAACCAGAAATTTAATGTTTTCCATTGATGTTTTGGGTTTTTTTTGCAACTTTACCTTGTCAAGCGCTCACTCTACCAAATATTTTCTTTTTCTCATCAAGCCCACAATCTATGAATAAGCCCTGCAATAACATTTGGCTACCTATTTCCCCCAAAGTACCCCCAAAAAAATGTTGGGGGGGAGGGGGGGGGAGGAATCCAAGGCAGAAAAAACAATAAGCGAAAACCCAGTCTAAATACCAATGCCTGATTTTAAATCACAAATTTTGCAAGTTGCTGCAGTGGTAGAGCAATTTAGCGTCAAAAACTCGCGGACTCGGGACAAAACATCTCATTGCAGATGGAAGAATAAGCTTTTATACTTGTTGAAAACCAGATGCCCTCGAAATCACCTTGGGAAAAAAGGCAGATATTAATGTTCATTAGCTGATTTGCATCAAAACCCAACCAATTCGATCCAAATATTTACAAAAAGCTATTCCAACAGGAATTTTATTCAGCGGTATCTCACATTTTGCGACGCTTGGCAAGTCTTTAAGGAAAGCAAATTGAGTAGATATCGTTCATGGGCCGACTATGGCTGGATTCCAGAATTTACCTGAAAAGAAGGGAAATGTAATAAAATAAATTTAAAATAAGCTTACTCCAGAAGGGGCCACGTCCCTGCTGAATATGGGCCAGGTTTTCCAGTTGACGTCGTGTCGGTATTGCTTATGCACGTGCTCGCCCACCCCGTAGATGTTGCTGCTGGGGAGTTTGATGGAGAGCTGTAGAAACTGCTCGGCGTAGAGCAGCGGGCCGATGGTGGTATTGAACCTAACGAAACGATGAAATGTCGCATAAAAATGTTTATGCTGAAGGCTGGATTCCCGTAACATCGCTCAACCCCCTCCAAAAAACCCAAGCCGTTATTTAAGAAAGGATTTGCGCCCTGTGCCGCTTCTAATTTTGTCATATTCATCTCGTAATTTGGCCAAAACCAGTCATGTTGCGTATTGCAGTAAAAATACCGGGTGTTTTTAATAATAATTTATTAATTGTGATTTTTTTTTTCATTAAAAGCATAAAACGCAACTTTTTTTTTTTTCCAAATTAAATGAAAGCCTAAGGAAAATTTAAGCAATCTCCAAGAGCGGTGTTTTAAATATCCCAGCATTTTTTCTTCAAAATTAAATCGAAACCTAAGGAAAATTTAAGCAGTCGTCTAGAGCAGTGTTTCAAACAGGTCCCAATTTTTTTTTTTTTCCAAATTAAATGAAAGACTAAGGAAAATTTAAGCAGTCTTCTAGAGCATTGCTTCAAACAGGTCCCATTGAATTAAATTATTCCCCCCTCCACGTGCCGACTAAATCAGTCCTGAGCACCCACTCCGTCTTTCATGCGCTCGCTAAGGGTGAATCAGTCTTCAGAGAGGCTTTTAAGAAAGCAAACAATGCTAATAACAGGGAAAAAAAGTAAATCCCAATTAATTAAACTTGGAGACTTGATAGCAATCCAACTCCCGCTAGCGGTCAGCGAAGGAATCACTTTTTAATTGATTTAATAAATATTTAATCCTGAGGCTTCCGCCTTTCATCGGGCAAAACCCAAACCTCCGCTTCTCCCAGATTTTACATGGAAAGGGCCTTCCATCCCACTTATCCGTCAAAAGAAGATGGCAAAACCCAAACCCGGTGAGACAAGACCTCCGCTTCTCCCAGATTTTACGTGGAAAGGGCCTTCCATCCCACTTATCCGTCAAAAGAAGAGAAGAAGCAATTTGCACGCCCAAGAGGGCACCAAAAGCAACGCAGACCTGCAGAGAAAACAGCTGCCATCACAATTTTATGGATAAAAAGCCCAAAATTTACTCACAGAACTTTTCCAGTGCTTGCTCTCGTCACCACGATGCCAAAGGGATTTTGCTGGACATCAACTTTATATTTTAAGTTGGAGGCTGCCGGACCGCTGAAAGGTCCCACGTGCTCATGGGGGACTTCAAACCTTTGCTTTTCAGGATCGGTGATCTACACATATTTAAAGAAAATAAGTAATTTATAAATTAATGCCTCATTTTAACGCTTTCCAACACAAAAATCCAAATTTGGCGGGAAAAAAGAACCCTCCCTTGTCAAAACAGCATCACGCCAAGAAGCGGTCAACATCGATCAACGGCAAAAATTAAGAGGGTGCAAACCTCCCCCGGCGTTTTATTTGGGTAGATACGAGGGTATTGTCCGTTATTGCTTGGTCTGAGGGTATTTTTCCCATGGGAAAGAGGCGGGAGGAGGAATTCCGCACCGCCGTTGTCGGTAGGCGTTGCCCAGCCCGTCTTCGGCACCTCATCTCCAGTCTTTCTGCACGTCCTCCCATGGCGGGCCGGACGCCCCAGCCTGGCTCCTCGGAATTGTGGCGGGAAAACGTGGCACCCTCCAGCCCCAAGAAAGGGGGAAAAGGGGAAATGGGGGGAAAAAGGGGGAGAAAG